ATGAAACTATCTTACAGATACTTACCGGAATAAAGGCACACATATCTGATATTAAGTTCTTTCAAATATGAAGGAATTCTTCCAAAATAAAAAGAAAGGAAATGAACTTGTTTTGCAGTTATCTATCATAAAAGCATGTTAACCTTTTAGTCCAGATGCTGTTGAAATGTGCTTTAAATCTCTTGCATCTTCTCATCATATAGTAGTAATGGAAAATTATTTATAAAAAGGCAAAAAATAGGTAACACCACATTCCAAAATAAGTTGAACATCCTAGTGGGACAGCAATACCACAGAAAATCAACAAGGTAGAACTAACACCTGAGGCCAGTTGGGTGGCATGACCCGAGTCAGAAAAAAGTGGCCAGGAGTTCATTTTCTATGGCATAATTGAAAGTAAAATGTCCCTTTTGAGATTATGGTGACTAAAATCAATACTACTTTTTGAAACTAGGAGCTAGGGCATGGATCTTCCCTCCATGCAAGAAGGATGAAAACAGCTGAGGATGGCCATTGCTTGATGCTGCAGTTTCTATCAAGCTATCTACCTATGGTGCCAAGAGGATGCAGGCAGAGTCTCAAAGCCAGGAGGTTAACCAAGTCACCTGCTAACTTAGTTACCACCTATAATATCCCAATATGACTATGGGGTTGGGGCCCTGAGCATCTCTGTTTCCACACGAGGGAAGCCACAGCTAACATGGAGGTAACAAGAAAACCACTGGACAGAGAGATGAGAGCAGTTTCCACAACCCCAGCCACTCCTAAAGAGTCACTTTAGTTTGCTAGGAAACTTCTGCCTCCTTTTGTTCCTCTTCGGTTGCTTAAATCCATGTTTTGAAAAATACTGATCTCAGGACCTCTAATAACCTAATCAAGTCTGTTTTAATGTTACTTAGAGATACTTTGTTTCTTTTTAAAATCTTTAATGTTGATATGTCACTTCTGTCACCCTTTTTAAAAATATATGCCCTGCCTGCCCCATGACAAAATACACTAATAAATTTGGTTATACAGCCTTAGACTTGATTCCTTATACTTGATGTATAGGTTATCAAATTAATATCACCTAACAAGTATATAAAAAAACAGATGGCTTTTCTACTTATCAGTGAGATGCAAAACTGATTTAATAATGTGAGAGAAGCATTAAACTAGGCAGGATTCCAACAGCAACTGAGCTAGCTAGGGAGTCCCCAAAATATGTATACACACACTTTGAATAATGATAAAGGGAGTATTTATTAAAATACATTTAATTTTCAAAATTGAGCTATAAGTTGTTAAAGTGTATAGACATATTTTGGGGGACACCCTGTATGCTGCTGGGGGCAGAGAGCTGATTAAACTGAGACAAACACTCATCTTTGACATGAATGGAACTTTCTAAATGTTATCTTCTTAAGAATCTAGCCTAGCCGAAACCGGTTTGGCTCAGTGGATAGAGCATCGGCCTGCGGACTGAAGGGTCCCGGGTTCGATTCCGGTCAAGGGCATGTACCTGGATTGCAGGCATATCCCCGGTGGGAGATGTGCAGGAGGCAGCTGATCAATGTTTCTCTCTCATCGATATTTCTAACTCTCTATCTCTCTCCCTTCCTCTCTGTAAAAAATCAATAAAATATATTTAAAAAAAAAAAAAGAATCTAGCCTAGAGGTCCAGGAATCGTCTTTTTGTGACTTTTCTATAAAGTGTTGCACAAACTGAAAAGTATATATATAATCACTTTCTGGGAAAGAAAACCACATGATTTCTAATATAGATACTGCCATTTTCCACATATACCTTACATATTTAGCCCTACATTTTGGGGTTACTTTTAATAAATATGAGTTAACAATGAGACTTCCTCTGATTTGTTCTCCTATGAAACAAATAATGCCTAAAGTTTAAGGAATTATTTTTAGAAAGGCAAACAAACGTTCCTAAGAATTTGGGACAAGATAGAAAACAAATTTCACTTCTACTCTGGCTGTCAAAATAGACTCCAGTTAAATGAACAGATTACTTGCTTTGTCTTTATAACACACGCAGTCATAACTTAAGAGATAAGAATGTAATATATTATTTTGCATGCATAAGCAGAGGTTTACATTTTTTTCTAAGAGAATTGAAACTGAAGATAAATGTGTGCACAGGTAGACACACACATGAACACTCATTCACACATACGCACAATTAATATAAAGCATTCTTGGTGGATCTAATACCCAATCCTGTACTTTCCAAGGGCTGAGATAGCTCCTACAAAACACTTCAACAGACAATTGTGTTTAGATTTGATCTTAGATTAAATAGATTTTACTGTCACTGATCTGACAGAACTGCAGCGTGATCCACTGACAGGTTGGTATAAAAAACTTGGGTCACCATGAATGCTGCAATCAACTTTTCATTTTTTTCTTAGCAGGTACATCACTGAACACATTTTTAGAATCTGTAAAGTGCACTTCTAGTGCTCTCTCCTTATCAGTCTTTCTCTCTTTTTGTCAGACTAATTCTCCTTTGCCTAACCTGACCCAAACTTTGCTATCAGTCTTCCCAACTCATGAGAATTATGTGATATTCTATCCTATATAATAAAAGGCTAATATGCAAATTGACCAAACGGCAGAAAGACCAGTCACTGTGATGTGCACTGAACACCAGGGAGTAGATGCTCAGTGCAAGAGCTGCCCCTGGTGGTCAGTGCGCTCCCACAGGGGGAGCGAACACTGCACGGCCAGAAGTCCTGAGCTGGGCTCACAGTTGGCAAGTGCAGCAGTGGTGGCAGGAGTGGGGAGTGGACCTAAGCCATCAGTCAGACATCCCCCGAGGGCTCCTGGACTGTGAGAGGGCACAGGCTGGGCTGAAGGATCCCCCTGAGTGCACAAATCTCATGCACTGGGCCTCTATTTGCTTTATAAAAGAGTTCATAAACTGTTAGCTCCAAGCCTTATGCAGCCCTGAGATGTTTTTGGCTGTTGCTTGTACTATAGAAACATACCAATAAAATAATCAACAGATACCACCAATACCTAAATCTAGAACTATAGTTTTTCTTAGAAGCAATTAGAAGCTTTGGGGTCATTAATTCTCCATTTTAATGTGGCAGTGATTGTTGAGGGCAGATTGGAAGCTGACCCTCAGGAGAGGTCAGGTGGTCCCCAGTCCACAGAGTATCCTCCAGCCTCTTCTGTATGATACTTAGATTTAGGCTGTTTCTCTTATTTACATCAATAGCATGGCCCTAGTGGGATTTTCAGTTTGTGGTCCCTACTCTATAACTTTCTCAACTGTCAACGAAGTACAGTTAACATGTTTATTGATAAGACAATATGTCCCACTGGCATAGATTAATAAGAAATACTTGAAAAACTTCAACACTTAAACCTTTCAAAATTGTTTTAAAAGGTGGTTAAATGAAACATCTGTTTATAGAAGATGTTATCTCTAGACATAGTTGTTCCTGAAAAAATTTTAAATATGGGATGCCAATCTTAGTTTCATCATTTGTCCATACTGTCCTCTTACCCTACCCTTTTGAACTTTTACACTTGTGAAGAATGTAAGAAATAAAAATAAATTGGATACTGAAATAGCATTTCCCCATCTCACTACCTCTACTCCCATGGTGATTCCTCCTATTTATCTCTCACTTTCCCTTAGTTTTAGAACTAAGATTTATTATTTTCTTCTGGAGGGTATGTTCTGGCTCCCTTCTTATTTAGACAGAGCTCTCTGTATTTTCATCTATTGTATGCATATCTCTATTATAACCATTGAGTTATAATGTTTTTATTTTCATATATAACTAGACAAATGGATTGTACTCTGTGATATATATGTAACAGTAATAAGTGTTTGTTTGTTTGTTTATTTATTTATTTATTTAAATTTGATCTTTATGCGAGATCATGTGTTCTAAGGCCTCAACTTCCTGTCCAGGGAGAAATGCAACTCACTCTTTTGAAAAAGAGTTTTTGTTGATTTTTTTTTTAGAGGGAGAGGGAGAGAGAGAGAGAGAGAGAGAAACACTGATGAGAGAGATGCTGCCTCCTGCCTGCAACCCAAGCATGTGCCCTGCCTACCGGAAATCGACCCTGTGACCTCTGTGTACAGGAGGATGTTCAATCCAGTGAGCAACACAGGCCAGGCCCAATTTACTCTTTTGAAGAAGAACACACTCGAGTACCAGTCATCAGTGGTCACTGCTGATACTCTAATTGGCAGAGTCTCTGCTGCTCTCGGCCTGTGTTGGACAGGAGAGTCTTAGCTGAGGCTAGAAGCCTGATGCCTAAAATACAGTCTCCTTTAGTAAGTCATTCAGCCCTGATTACCTGATAGTTTATATGGGCCACTTCCCAGCAATTACTGAAACTTTTTTTTTTATGGCAATAAGTCTTTATTTTTCATATAAGGTGCCACTGCTGTTTTCAGATATACAGAACTGAATAGAGGCGTTTAGAATGCTGCCTCACTGTACATGGAAAACTGGGGCATCTTCAGACACTAAAGTGAGGGAAGAAAATGGGTTGATGCCATTTGTTGATGGGCTTATGCATCACTCAGCAGTGTTACAGGCTGTCTTCACCTGAAAGCAGAACTGTAATCACTTGGGCAGCTCTGAACAATTCTGAAATGCATGTCTACGAAGGTGCAACAGCAAGCCAGAGACAGATACCATGCCCCACTCTGAAGGGAGACTGATCTGGCCCCTGGCTCAGGCCATTTTAAGAGCTGATATAGCCATCTTAATAGTTTGAGTTTCCCTTACCACATATGTTGGCAATCAGCATAACAGAATTTCTGAAACATCAGCTGAATAATTCCCAGTTTAAAAAACAGGCCATTGTCCATATAGCAATTGCTACTTCATAACTTCTGCTCAGTTATCACTTGTCCTACAAAAAACCCTTATCTGGTGAATTTTAGTGAAAGCCTCTAGCAACAGTAGCAGACTCAGCTCTAGATAATAAGTATGAGAAAAAAGTGCCTGTGAGGTGGATGTGTCCATGGAAAAGTGGCAGTGTTTCTATTGGAGGTAAGTGTCGAGTTTCCTCTTGATGTTGTCAAAGGAATCTGCTCCCATGTAATCAGCCTGGTCCTGTTCCCACCTCTCCTTCCGTTCTTCTGAGGATACAAAAGGCTGTGCCGTAGCCGGGGTCTCCCCAAGGGACAAATGTGACACAGCTCCGGAGACATCTTCCACATTGAGGTGTGGGTGGGTGTCTGAGATGAGACCAAACTGCTGCTGCAGAGGTGAAACGCTGGTGGTGAAGATGCCCCACCACAGGCTGAGGAACTCAGGGTGAGTCATAGTGGGATCATGTGACTCACTTTTGACACTTTTTGTTTTAGGATCATAGGTGTAATTCCACGGTTTGATTCGTCCCAGGAAATGCACAACTTTGGCATTTGCACCAAACGCTTTAAATGCTGGGAGGTAGGAGTATATAGAAATGCTGCTTAGGTTATAAATAAATGGCAGGTGTTTTCTGATATCTGTTGTTGCCCAGCTGCTAAAAAACATGTTCAGTAAACCTGGTCCCCACCATCAAAACTACCTTGCTCAGAAGCAACACGCAGCAGCTGGCTATATGTTTCCACTGAAGGATGATACACAAAAACTCTGGAATTGAAGCAGTTAGGCCACCCAGGGTTTTTTCTACCAAAAAAAAAAAAAAAAGAAGAAGAAGAAGAAAGAAGGAAGGAAGGAAGGAAGGAAGGAAGGAAGGAAGGAAGGAAGGAAGGAAGGAAGGAAGGAAGGAAGGAAGGAAGAAAGAAAAAAAGAAAGAAAGAAAGAAAGAAAGAAAGAAAGAAAGAAAGAAAGAAAGAGAAAGAAAGAGAAGAAGAAAGAAAGAAAGAAAGAAAGAAAGAAAGAAGAAAGAAAGAAGAAAGAAGAAAGAAAGAAGGAAGAGAAAGAAAGGAAGAGAAAAGAAAGAAAGAAAAGAAAGAAAATAAAATTATTCAAAACTTATTTTTCTTCAAAATAACAACTGCATTCATTTCTAAACATGGACAATTTTACTTTCTAGGACCTTTGAATTTCATTTGCTCTAGGACTCTGGGTAGGGTTAAATCTTACATGCTTGCCAATTTTTACTCTGTTCCTCAAACACTGTTAACAACCTCCTGGATGGAGGAAAAAAATAAAAAAAAAAGTTTAACAACCTTATTAGGATGGAGGTGTTGCAGGCTGAATTTGGTGTGAACACTTATATAATTCCCTCCTCTTGAGTGTCAGTTTCCCTGACCGATTTAATCAGATTAGACCTTTTAAAAGGGGTGTAGAGGTCAGAGTCAGGGGAAGTCAGAGAAATTTAAAGCTGTGTCAGATGCTCTTCTGCTGACCTTAAATGAGCAACTTGCCATGCTCAGGAGAGGGCTATGTGCCAGTAAATGCAGGTGGTCCATGGGATCTGAGGGGCACCCTCATCTACTGTTAGCAAGAAAACAGTGGCTTCTATCCTACAGCTTCATGGGAATAAATTCTGAAACTGCCATTGAGCCTGGAGAAGGACCCTGAAATACAGATGAGAACACAGCTTGGTTGACTCTGTTTTTAGCCTTGTGAAATCTCATCAGAAAACATAGTTACATTGCTTCCAAATTTTTGACCTACAGAAATTGTGAGGTAATAAATGAATATTTTTAAAGCTACTGAGTTGGTAATTTGATATGCATCATAGAAAGCTAATATGGAGATTTCTTATGAGAACCAGGGGAAAAGGGAATTAATATCTCAAGGAGCTGCTATAGTATTCATGAGTCATACTTAATTTTAATTTCATTAAAGGTAGAGATTTTATCTTATTTGTCCTTGTATCCTCCATATTAGCCTAATATCTGAATGATAATGAGACATAAATTTTGGGTACATTTATGGATAATACAAATATAATAATATTTTAATAGCTTTAATTATTAAAGAGGGAAATATTTGTGGATGATTTGAGGAAATAGCAAAATTGAGTCTAAGACTTAACCAGAGTATATATTCCTACCAAATTTATTAGTTTAAGCAAAGGAGAGTAAAATCAAACATATAAAAGGGCAAGTATGGTAAATTAACATGCACTTAATGTGACTTTATCACCACATAATAAGGACAGTCATCTAATTGCCTTTTTTACTTTGGAAAGAACACGTGAGTATATGAGAAGATTTCTATGGAAGACTTCTATGTCTTAGAAGCATTTATATATAACACAAAATAAAGCCACTTTAACCTTTAACAGTATGAAAGAATACACACAAATGGAAACACATCCATAAAATAAATTAACTGAAAACTAGTGTCCCTGAAAATCCTTTTTGAAGTAAGGAATGTGTGAACACGAAAGGCATGGGAAGCAGTACAATGTAATGTTATACAGCAACAAAATCTAATGCAATTCGAGACTTCATACAGAGAGCAATCGCATCAGGGAGTAGGAAGGCAATAGTTCCTCTTTACTAAGTTCTTGTCAGAGCATTGGGAATACAGTGCACGTTCAACCCTGGACTTTCTAGGCAGAAAAATAAATTCATCAGCTCCCTGAGAGAAGAGGAGCTGAAGGTGGGGTGTTAGAAGAATTGAGGCATTTGGCAAAAATAAGAAAATAACATCTAATTGACCCAAATCATCTGGAGTAGGTAAAATTTTCTTCTGTTACATGGAGAGTGTAGTCACAGAGGACACTGAAGAAATTATGAGAGCAGTGCTTCCCAAAGGTTACCTTGAAAACAATTTCTTTAGGGATCTTAGTGGACTCTGAAAAGCAATTCAAACTTAAAATTTTCTCCCCAATGACCTTTCTTATCACTTCCTACACTTTATCATATTATTTAAAATGGTGGTTCTTTCCAGGGCTTTATCCTTCATTTTGATAAAAACTATAAGCTACTTTATACAAAAATTTATCCAAGTTTTATTATTATTATTGGTATTACTGTTGTTATTATTAACAACAATGGAAAGATTGATGATCATACATTCCAGGAAAGTAAACAATGCATGTGTTCTTTATTAGCAGATGATAAATTTGTTAATTTGATTTATACAATTAAAACATAAAAATGTTATGAGGCAATGCATATCTTTATTGCATTTACAGTTGCTGTAGGGAAATCTAGTAAATGGCAGGATTCAGTTCCTTAATATTTACAAATTTTCCAATTCTAAAATCAATGAACTAAGCCATTGTTAGGTTCGGATGGTCTTTGGCCTCATTTTTACACCCATGGGCTCAGACAGCAGTGTTTTCCTGGGGGTAGATTTCTTTTTTACTCCCTTAAATTTTAACATTTATTAGAATAACCGATGGATTGAATGGGTCTTTATTAAGGTATTGTTTAAAATTCTTAAAAATACATTTTTTAAAATGTTGATTATTTCCTTCATTTGTTTTCATGTAACACTTGGTGCACTTGTTCTATTTTTTGAAACCTTCAACCTTAATGGGTTCTGGGTTATGTCCAAAAGAAGTAAGCCTGTTCAACATGGATTTGTCCTGAGGAGGCTCTTTCAGGTTCCTGTGAGATAGATTTCTTGCATTCCAGTCTAGTAGTAGAGCAGGGCATGGCTCCTTCCTCCTCCTCCCTACCTCCTCGTACAGCTTCCTCTTCGGAAGGGGAAGCTATTCAAAGATATAGCTTCCTTCCTTTGGGTCTTTAGAGCTAGCTGTTACCATTTTGTCTGTAGTGACTGATGCGAGAGAAGTTATGAAATGCAATTGCAAGCTTTCAAGAGCAGAAGGATTTGGCTGCCACAAGAGGGCTAAATGGTACTCCTCAAGTCATCTTATAAACAATTGTGTTTCTGCTCAATATGCAGGTAAAGTTTGTTTAAATTGCATTTTCTTTGTAATAACTTATTTTCTTTTAACTCATTTTTATTAGAAGGAATTCAACAGTATATCTTAAGATCACTATACAATACATGTTTGTGCTATTTATATCAGTTGTGAAAACTGATAAATGCAGAGGGTTACAACTGGGATGAGTGAAGATAGTTCTTAATAAACCACTTCTTAGTAAATCCTTCACTTTAATTTTTCTCATAAATTCTACTGCCTGTACAACCTCAAATCCCCTTTGGTGGGAAATGTTTTACCTTAGTAAAATCCCAGTTAAAGGTAAGTTGGATTTGAAATTTAGTGCAGTCAATTCAATTTCAATGTGATGTTCATCTTTTTAATAATCTCTATTATCCCATCATTGGTGAAACTCATAGCTCTAAGCTGAAGATATGAGGTTGTTTATTCTCTCTCAATTTTTTCTGTCTTCCCAGGGCTTGCTCCTTATCTAATGGCAAGAGGAGAGGAATTAAGTAAAGAAGATTTCTTATGCCACCATCCTTGGTGAGTAGGTCATCTTCTATATTAGTAATAAATGCTGTTTATTTTGTGAGTAATTATGAAGCTGTAAAGGCATGGTTGCTGACTCCTCCTATTGGTCCCAATAGTGACATAGTTCATGGCTCAGCCTGTGTGAGGTATGATGTGTTGAGGTCCTAGCAAGCCTTGCTGGTGAGCACCTCCTTAGACTTTTGTGGTTCCTTTAGAGATGTGAGTATATCTCCTGACTATTTCCATGATGGTGATATCACACCACAGTCCTCAGATGAGCCCAATTCCCACCAATTCCATAGTAACTGATCTCAACCATTTGTCAAGCTTCCAATTCAGAGGATAGCATGTCATCATGTTTTAAGATTTTTTAATGGAGCAATGAGTAACAATTATGGATAGATATTAATAATATATCATTGCCAATTCTTGATTTTGATAATTGTACTCTAGCTATGTAAGAAAATGTCCCTGTAACTTTTTGTTTGTTTGTTTTTAAAACACACAAATGTTTTGGAGCATAATGGGTGTGTCAGGTTGGCATTTTACTTTCCAGTGACTTAAAAGAAACATATATTTGTAACACGTTTAATTTTTGTTATTAAAAAAAAAGGTTTCATAGGCAACACAATTTACAATAGCTAAGATTTGGAAACAGCCTAAGTGCCCATCAACAGATGAGTAGATTAGAAAACTGTGGTACATCTACACAATGGAATACTACGCTGCTATAAAAAAGAAAGAAATATTACTGTTTGCAACAGTATGGATGGAACTGGAAGCATTATGCTAAGTTAAATAAGCCAGTCAGAGAAAGATAAATATCACATGATCTCACTCACTTGTGGAATATATTGAACAACATAAACTGATGAATAAAAATAGAACCAGAGATATAGAAACATTGAACAGACTGTCCAACCTATAAGGGAAGGTGGGGAGTGGGGGTAAGAGATCAACCAAAGGACTTGTATGCATGCATATGAGCATACCAATTGACAGATAGTAGGGGGATGAGGGCATGTACGGGACCGTGGGAGCAGCCGGGGAGAGGTCAATGGGGGAAATAAGATACTCATGTAACACTTTAAACAATAAAGAATTTAAATTAAAAAATAAAATAGTAGAAAAAGGTTTGAAATTAAAAATCTAATAAACATGCATGCATCCATTTTCCTTAATATTTTATTTATTTCTGCCTGAAAATTATTATTTTCTTAGGTTTGCTTTTGGTCATCTATCAAGAAAA